GGAGGTGATACCTACTTCCTGGGGTTAATACAAAGGATAAATGGCATGCTTTTATGCCCATTAAAACACCCAGCACAGTGCATATAAGCATTTGGTACATGTTAGTTTCCTTCGAACTGTGAATGCTACCCTGAGGAACTTGATAAAACTATGGAATTCCAGGTTCAGTCCCGGAATATCTGGATCCTCCAGTATGGGTGGGGACCCAGGTAGCTGGATTTTACCGCTCCCCAGTAGCAAAGGAGGAGCATGCTGCTTGAGAATAGACAAAAAGGCTTCCAGTGTTAAGAGGGTGTAACAGGCAGGCTATGCAGGTAGAGGCCTGCACAGGTGCACAAGTAGGGTTCTATGCATGTGTGTGAATGCACACGTGAGTGTGTTTATGTTGAGACAACTAGAATGGCCATTGAGAAGTTAAGCCCAGAGAACAATTTGGTCAGATTATGAAACGTCTTAAATGCATGCTAGGGTGTATGGACTTCCTCCTCCAGGCCAAATCAGGCAGTGTGGCCTCAAATTTGACAGTATTTTAAAAAATAAATCAGGCTTTCCCTGGCTGGTTCAGGTCAGTGGTTAGAGCATCGACCCACGGACCAAAGAAATGAGGGTTCGACTCCAGTCAAGGGCATGTATCTCAGCTGTGGCTCGGTCCCTGGCTCTGGTTAGGATTGTGCAGGAGGCAACCAGGCAATGTCTCTGTCTCTCTGTCTCTCTGTGTCTCTCCCTCTCCCCCTCCCTCCCTCCCTCTCTATCTGAAGATAAATGGAAAAATATCCTCAGGGAAAGAGAGAGAGAGAGAGAGAGAGAGAGAGAGAGAGAGAGAGAATTAAATAAATAAGGACTAAAATAAATCAATAAATCAGGCTCTAAAATGGAGGCATTTAATTCCAGAAAAGAGTTTCTTCATATGGAAAACCATCTATAAAACACACTAAATTCCTAAAATGGAATAAATGTAATATGTGGAGGTATTTTCAAAAATCATCCATTCTTTCAACAAATGTTTAATGATTGCCTCATAGGCCAAAGCCAGATGTTGGGGACATGATGGAGTCATTTTTGGGACCTACCCACATTTTGAGCTTTCTGGCAAGCGCAGTGGAATGCCAGTGGTCAGCTTTAACCTGGGAGGGGATGCTTACGGTCCAGGCGTGGAAAAGGCGGCTCCCGTAGCCCCAGAGTGAAGGGAGGGGTACGAGGGGCAAGCACTGAGGCCATCAGGCTTGGTGTAGGGTGACGTGGCTGCACCTGCAGGAACTGAGCTCTGAGTCCTGGCAGGGCAGCTATCGGGGGGAAAAGCAGCAGGTACGAGGTTCACCTAGCAATGAGGAACCTTGGTGGCCACCATGAGTTTAGCACGATGCATCTGATATGCCTTGTGACGACCACAGGGGTCTTGCAGGGCAGCTGGATCTACGGGCTGAGAGCTGAGGAGGCAGCGGAGAAACCGCCAGAGGCCTGGGAACGAGTCAGAGGGGGTAAGGCTGGGAGGCTGAGCAAGTCTGCATGGGAGGTGGCCAGCCGTCCTGAGTGCTGCTGGGAGTCCGCTGTGGCCTCGACGAAAACATCCCTACTGGCTGTGCGGGTGACTTGCTAAGTGGTCTGGCCAGTGAGTAGGGGCTGGTCGGAACCCCAAGTATGATCAAGAGCAAAGGCAAGGAACAGTCTCCGTGACTCAAGGGCACCCCAGATTCCAAGTGTTCTAACCAAGAGCCTCCCCTTCTCTGTGGCCAAGGCCAGAACACAGATGTCACATGGTGCTTGGATTCTAAGCAACTACTATTATGCCCATGTCTGGCTTCTCAACTCTATTTCTGGGGCCTCAGTAAACATGAACAGGGACACAACAGGTGCACTCCTGAACTCAGGAAGCTGCTTTGCTATCCCACACCTGTCCTCCACATTCAGGTTGGACCTCACTCTCTCCAGGAGACTCCACTGAATGCCTCTGAGAGCACTCCAATATCTCTGACAGCCCCAGTGTCCCTGAGCACATCCCAATACCTCTGACAGCCCCAGTGTCCCTGAGCACATCCCAATATCTCTGAGAGCCCCAGTGTCCCTGAGCACATCCCAATATCTCTGAGAGCCCCAGTGTCCCTGAGCACATCCCAATACCTCTGAGAGCCCCAGTGTCCCTGAGCACAATCCAATACCTCTGAGAGCCCCAGTGTCCCTGAGCACACCCCAATACCTCTGAGAGCCCCAGTGTCCCTGAGCACATCCCAATACCTCTGAGAGTCCCAGTGTCCCTGAGCACATCCCAATACCTCTGAGAGCCCCAGTGTCCCTGAGCACACCCCAATATCTCTGAGAGCCCCAGTGTCCCTGAGCACATCCCAATATCTCTGAGAGCCCCAGTGTCCCTGGCAACACCCCAATATCTGAGAGCCCCAGTGTCCCTGAGCACATCCCAATACCTCTGAGAGCCCCAGTGTCCCTGAGCACACCCCAATATCTCTGAGAGCCCCAGTGTCCCTGAGCACATCCCAATATCTCTGAGAGCCCCAGTGTCCCTGGCAACACCCCAATATCTGAGAGCCCCAGTGTCCCTGAGCACATCCCAATACCTCTGAGAGCCCCAGTGTCCCTGAGCACACCCCAATATCTCTGAGAGCCCCAGTGTCCCTGAGCACATCCCAATACCTCTGAGAGTCCCAGTGTCCCTGAGCACATCCCAATACCTCTGAGTGCCCCAGTGTCCCTGAGCATACCCCAATATCTCTGAGAGCCCCAGTGTCCCTGAGCACATCCCAATACCTCTGAGTGCCCCAGTGTCCCTGAGCACACCCCAATATCTCTGAGAGCCCCAGTGTCCCTGAGCACACCCCAATATCTCTGAGAGCCCCAGTGTCCCCGAGCACATCCCAATACTTCTGAGAGCCCCAGTGTCCCCGAGCACATCCCAATACCTCTGAGAGCCCCAGTGTCCCCGAGCACACCCCAATATCTCTGAGAGCCCCAGTGTCCCCGAGCACATCCCAATACCTCTGAGAGTCCCAGTGTACCTGAGCACACCCCAATATCTCTGAGAGCCCCAGTGTCCCTGAGCATACCCCAATACCTCTGAGAGCCCCAGTGTCCCTGAGCACACCCCAATATCTCTGAGAGCCCCAGTGTCCCTGAGCATACCCCAATATCTCTGAGAGCCCCAGTGTCCCTGAGCACATCCCAATACCTCTGAGAGCCCCAGTGTCCCTGAGCATACCCCAATATCTCTGAGAGCCCCAGTGTCCCTGAGCACATCCCAATACCTCTGAGAGCCCCAGTGTCCCTGAGCACATCCCAATACCTCTGAGAGCCCCAGTGTCCCTGAGCACACCCCAATATCTCTGAGAGCCCCAGTGTCCCTGAGCACATCCCAATATCTCTGAGAGCCCCAGTGTCCCTGAGCACATCCCAATACCTCTGAGAGCCCCAGTGTCCCTGAGCACACCCCAATATCTCTGAGAGCCCCAGTGTCCCTGAGCACATCCCAATACCTCTGAGAGCCCCAGTGTCCCTGAGCACACCCCAATATCTCTGAGAGCCCCAGTGTCCCTGAGCACATCCCAATATCTCTGACAGCCCCAGTGTCCCTGAGCACATCCCAATACCTCTGAGAGCCCCAGTGTCCCTGAGCACACCCCAATATCTCTGAGAGCCCCAGTGTCCCTGAGCACATCCCAATACCTGAGAGTCCCAGTGTACCTGAGCACACCCCAATACCTCTGACAGCCCCAGTGTCCCTGAGCACACCCCAATACCTCTGAGAGCCCCAGTGTCCCTGAGCACACCCCAATATCTCTGAGAGCCCCAGTGTCCCTGAGCACATCCCAATATCTCTGAGAGCCCCAGTGTCCCTGAGCACATCCCAATACCTCTGAGAGCCCCAGTGTCCCTGAGCACACCCCAATATCTCTGAGAGCCCCAGTGTCCCTGAGCACATCCCAATATCTCTGAGAGCCCCAGTGTCCCTGAGCACATCCCAATACCTCTGAGAGCCCCAGTGTCCCTGAGCACATCCCAATATCTCTGAGAGCCCCAGTGTCCCTGAGCACATCCCAATACCTCTGAGAGCCCCAGTGTCCCTGAGCACACCCCAATATCTCTGAGAGCCCCAGTGTCCCTGAGCACATCCCAATACCTCTGAGAGCCCCAGTGTCCCTGAGCACATCCCAATATCTCTGAGAGCCCCAGTGTCCCTGAGCACATCCCAATACCTCTGAGAGTCCCAGTGTACCTGAGCATACCCCAATATCTCTGACAGTCCCAGTGTCCCTGAGTATCCCCCACTACCTCTGAGAGCCCAGTGTCCTTGAGCAACCCCCAGTATCTCTGAGATCCCCAGTGTCCCAGGGAACCCCAATATCTGAGAGCCCCAGTGTCCCTGAGCATACCCCAATATCTCTGAGAGCCCCAGTATCTCCAAGCACCGCCAATACCTCTGAGAGCCCCAGTGTCCCTGAGCACACCAATACCTCTGAGAATACCCCCCAATACCAGGAGCACCCCGATACCTCTGAAAATACTCCAATAACTCTGAGAGGGACCCAATGCCTCTGAGAGTACTCAGTACCATCCCACTCCCCACAGAGGGGTGTTGGGAATCAGGAGCAGGAGTGGCCTGGGGGTGGTGGGAGGGGTTCTCCTCTGCACACCGGCCCCTGGAGGAGCCCTCGGGGGTCGTTTGATGACAGGTTTGAGGGTTGCTGCACCCTCACCTTACAGGACAGCTCCAAAGGCTTTGCTGGTGTGTCTGGTCTCGCTGAAGGGAACGTAGCTGTGACGGCCCTCCACACGCTGCCAGGCCGGGACCAGGCGGCCTGTGCCAGCCCTTGGGATGCCACAGCCAGGCTAACCTGCTGCCCAGGCCACTGCCTGCCACTGCTCAGCACAGCCCGAGGCCAGGCTGAACATGCTGACTGGACTCTGCCATCTCAGACAGGATGCCCGGGAGACATCCACTCACGCCAGACAGACCCCACCCAGAGGAGGCGGAGACAGAAGAAAGTACCTACCTATGATTGAATCCCTCCGGAAGACGTCTCTATCGAAAATGTAAAACGACAGGTGACGAAAGCTCCGAGGAATTTCACAGTAGAAGTCTTCTCCGTAGAAGGGGCTGCACGAAGAGAGAGTGGGCACCGTCAGATTCTGCGGTAAGGCCCAGACGCCCGCTCATGCGTCGCGCGTGGGCCCCCACCTCGGCACCCCCAGAGTCTCATGTTTACCAGCGCCACAAACACGCCATTCTGCGTTTTGCGAGCAAGACGTGAAATTGCAGTTTCTTAACTGGGATATAAATGAACTTAAGAGTAAGCAGGCTGTAAAAATCTTCAAAGATGGGGCCCAGTACCAAAGGCATATCACGTTATCCGGCGATTTTCAACCTTTTTCATCTCCTGGCACACATAAACTAATTACTAAAATTCTGCGGCACGCCAATCTGCATTAAAAGGTATAATTTGGTTCATTCACACCAGAGCGCTACTGTTGTGTTGACTGTTGTCATTTTTTAACTTGACAGTCTAAGGGAAAAGAGGTCAGTGCCTCTGACTAAATAGTCAGGTGTTGCATGTTTTCAAACTTCTGTGGCACAATGGTTGAAAATCGCTGCGTTCAATGAATGAGTCGCTGTGCTGGTTTGGCGACCAGAGAAACCACAAAGTTCGGCACAGATTGTGGTATTAACAAAACTGTCTATTGTGTATGACCAGGTTTGGCACAAATGCTCAGAACTGCGAACCATTTTGAGGGTCTGGGGTAGCAGGTGGCAGGCCTCACCCAGTGTTCCAGTTTCAGAGAGTGAGAGTGCTCCCCTTTATCCAGAAGTCAGAGTAAAATACCAACAGGTGACCACCTGTACCTCTCCCCAGGGAGAGGGCCTCACCCACCGCAGCCGACCCTCCATATAGACCCTGAGGCTCATTCAACCACAGATGAAGACTCAAAATAAACTGCAAACTCTAACTGAGGGACCGGAGCCCTGGACCATCCTGGTTGGGCACGGGATGAGGTTAGCAGACACTGGTTCATGGAAACCACGGTGACTGTGCACAGAATACGGCAGCCAGCAAACCTGCATCCAGTAGGTAGGAAATGGAGCAATTACTCCAGCACACACACCTACAGCTACCAAGGAACCTGGCATGACTCCACCATCATGCACGTTCATGGCTAAGGTCCAACGTAGGAAACATAATAGGTCAAGTAAAAAACTAAAACAGCGTGCTACATTTTGTTAGGAGAAAGGAATGTAGGCTTCTGGCCAAGTATGAAAAGAGAGACAGAAAAGAACTGATACCATGAGTATCTCCTAGTGAAAGTTTATTGTGAGTAATAGACACGAAAATAAGAAAAAAAGGGAAGGAGGAGGGCAGGATCAGCTCCCAACTAAGAGAGCTCCAGAGCCATATTTTATCAATTTGAGATGATGTCTCCCCCACCTCCATAATTTTAGCACCTCTGAAATCAGAATGTATCCTGCAATCAACGTCAGAAAAGATTATTTCATAGATTAATTAGCATTGCTTTTTCTTAAATGCACATAAAATAATGGTACATCCCATAACTGACAAATGTCACAATTACATAAAATACAGTGTTTTTGGTGGCTTGACATGCCATCATTTGAAGGTCACTAGCACAAAGGGCTGGAGCTGTGAGGAGCTACACGGTCATTGGGGTATGGGGGAGAAGAAAAGAAGCCATCACAGAAGGCAGGCATGCTGGGAAAGTGGGAATCCGTTCAGAAGGGAAGGGGCGCAATGTGGAGGAGAAGAAAGCAGCAGGCAAGGAGTGGGAAGGACAAGTCTGGGGTCCAGAATGGGCTCACAGCGGGCACTGCCCATGCCTGGACCTAAAGACAGCTGAGTCAGGGAGAGAGGGACAGTGGGGAGGCAAGGCCTAAGGGAAGCAGGAAACAACCAGGTCTGACAGCCCAGGTCAGAAACCCAGAAACCAACCCATATGCCAGTCCTTCCAGATGTGAAAGCAAAGGACCCACGCCAGCCAGCACATGCTTGAGAAAGAAGAACAAAGGTGGAGAGCTCACAGTTCCAGGTTTCAAAGTTTACTGCAAAGTAATAATAATCAAGAAACCTGGTCCTGGCTAAGGACAGACAGAGAGACCCCTACCTCACACCACACACAAAAATTAACTTGATGTAATCACACACCAGATGTAACAGCTGAAACTGTAACAACTAAAACTATAACTATATAGAACTAAATCTTTGTAACCTAGTGGAAGGCAAATGATTTTTAGATATGACATCAAAACAATCACAAAAGAAAAAAAATATATATATACATACATATATATATATATATATATATATATATATATATATATCAGTAAGCCAAACTTTACCAAAATTAAAAATATAAAACATGTTGTGCTTTAAATATACCATTAAGAAATTTAAAAGGCCTGTCTGGTGTGGCTCAGTGGATTGAGCGTCATCCCATGGACTAAGAGATCCCTGTTAAATTTCTGGTCAGGGCACATGCCCCAGTGTGGGCTTGATTCTCAGTAGGGGGCATGCAGGAGGCAGCCGATCAGTGTTTCTCACATCAATGTTTCTATCTCTCTCTCCCTAAAAGATCAATGAAATTACACACACACAGACACACACACAGACACACACACACACACACACGTATATGAAACTTAAAAGGCAAACCAGAAGAAAATATTTGAAAATCATGTATTTGATATAAAACTTGTATCCAGAATACATTTTACAGCACAATAATAAGATAAATAATTAAACTGAAAAATGGGCAAAAGATTGTTGAAACAGATATATCACCAAAGAAGACATTGACCACAAGCATATAAAAAAAATTAGCCATCAGGGAAATGCAAATTAATTGACGAAACACCACTTCACACCTACTAGGATGGTGATAATAAAAAAAAATGACAGTTCCGGCTGGTTTGGCTTAGCTGTTACAGTGTTGGACCTACGCCCAAAGGGTCATGAGTTCAATGCCTGGTCAAGGGCATATACCTGGGTTGCAGGTTCGATCCCTGGCCCCAGTCAGGGTCATGCGGGAGGCAACCAATCGATGTTTCTTTTCCCCATCCCTTCCACTCTATCTAAAAAAAAAAAATCAATGGAAAATTATCCTCAGGTGAGGATTAACAAAAAATTAATTAATTAATTAAAAATAAAATGATGACAAATAACCAGTGTTAGGTAGGGTATGGAGAAATTGGAACCCTCATACATTGCCACTGGAAACTTTGGAAGATAAACAGTGTGCCCACAGAGTCAGCAAGTCCTCCTACATATACACCCAAGAGAAATGAACACGTGTCCACACAGAAACTTACATGTGAATGTTCATGCAGAAGTATTCACAACAGCCAACAGGTGGAAACAACCCAAATATCTATCAAGTGACAAATGGAAAAACAAAATCTGGTAAATCTATACAATGGATTCCTATTTGGCGATAAAAAGAAACAATGAACCTCAGAAGCATGTTAAGTGAAAGAATCCAGGTGCAAAAAACAAACAACCCTTTTTGACATTCCATTTATATGAAATGGCCAGAACGTGCAGAGGTGTATGCAGAGAGAGCTGAAAGTGGGAGGCTGGAGGTAGGTGGGGGACAACTGCCAAGGGCCCTTCTTGAGTGTTTTAAATGGATTACAGTGACAATGATAAAATTTTGTAAATTTACTAAAAATTGCTCAATTATAGACTTGAACATTTCCTACGTCCTGGCTGGGTGGCTCAGTTGGTTGGAGCATCTTCCCATGCGGGTTCAATTCTCACTCAGAGCACAGGCCTGGGTTGTGGGTTTGATCCCTGGGCGGGGTGCATGCATGCAGGGGGCGGGACAATTGATGTTTCTCACATCAATGAGGAATATCCTCAGGTGAGATTTTTTAAAAGTTCCTACAACATGAAGAAGGCCGTTTACAGCCCTGTCCCCAGCTCCTCACATTCTTCCAGCTCACCCTCAGAAAGGGAGCGAAAATAATTCCTGCATTCTGGGCCCTGCACCCTGCCTCCTGGGAGCTTGTACTCCAATAGGGTCGCCAGCTTCATCTGGGCACCCATGACATCCCAGGTCCTGTTCTGAGCCCCAGCAGGTAGCAAGTAGAGTTGACCCTCGAACAACGCAGGGTTTAAAATTCACATAAAAGTATAGACACACAGTTCAAACCCATGTTGTTCAAGGGTCAACTGTATTCAGCCCTCAAATACCCTCACTAGGTGGGGAAACAGAGGCACTTGCATCAAGTGACAGGTCCAGAGTTTAACAAATGCTCATTTGAAAATCCCATCTAAGCATATTCTCCCCATCAGAATTCTTGCCTCAGAGCCTTCCTGTGACCCGTTGTCTACATTTGTGAGGTTCTGCCTGATACCAGCAGACGCCACAGGGGTGTGATGCTCTGGGTTAACCTCCAGTTCCACAACCCACTCCTCGTGTGAGATCCAGCTCTCTCGGTTCCCAGTTATTCTACCTGTGAGTAAGAGCCTGAAACATCGTGAAGATCAACGACATAATCTACAGGAAACCCTCCGACACTCTGCAGGAAACTCCAAAAGTCGATAGATCAGCGTGTGTGTGTGTGTGTGTGTGTGCACGCGTGTGCGCGGGTGCACTGTGTGTGTGCGTGTACATGTGAATTGCATGTGTGCATGTGCAAGTGTATGTGTATGGGTGTGTGTGAGTGTGCAGGTATGAATGTGTACATGTAGGTTTGTGGGAGAGTTGCACGTGTACATGCATGTGTGTGTGCACAAATACTCAAAGACACACATTTACACACACTCCTCCCAATACATTATTTTTGCTAACGAGGTGCAATGCCCACCTGCCTCTCCTGCAAGGTGAATTAAATTTTAAAACAGGACTAAGCCTCAGAAAATACAGTCTCCCTTATTCGGGCCCACAAGCCCTCCCCAGCAGAGCCCAACGTGGCGTCACCCTGGAGACGGTGAGATGCTCTAAGTACAGCATCATTCCTTTCCTCAGGAAAAACCACCATTCACCCTAAGTCTGTGAATGGAAATGAGGGAGAGATGGCTTTCCAACTGAGCAGGGAGGCCAATCAGCAGCGTTCCCTTGGGGACCTAGACAGAAGCTGGTGGTCCT